TGTGTTGTGACTTTTACCAAAATTTTCCCTTATTCTTGTGTATTTCTTAGTGTTAATCTTTTACCTTGGTCAAGTTGTGCTGACTTCACCCTTATATATTGGTATTGCCTTACCCATCACACACACTAACAAGTGTCTACTATCTAGAAAGTGATTCCCCCCCTCTCCCTCCCATCCCTGTTAACTACCAAAGAATGTTGCTTTCTGTATGTACACCTATTCCTTTCTTTTTATATAATAGTGAGATTAAATAGTGTCTGTCCTTTTGTGATTGACTTCTTCTGCATAATGTTCTCCAGATTCAACCACTTATAGTATATTTTGAGAACCCATCATGTTTCTTTACGGCTGCATAGTATTCCATTGTGTGTATGCACCATAGTTTGTTTATCCATTCATCGGTTGATGGGCAGGTAGGTTGTTTCCATCTTTTTGCTATTGTAAATAATACTGCAATGAACTTGGTGTGCATATATCTGTTCATGTCAGTAGTTTTACTTCTTTAGGGTATATACCTAGGAGTGGGATTGCTGGATCATAGGGTATTTCTATTTCTAACTTTTTGAGAAAACGCATACCGTTTTCCATAACAGTTGACCCAATTTACAACCTCACCAGCACTGGAGCATGTATCCAATCTCCCTACAACTTCCCCAGCATTTGTTGTTTTCTGTTTTTATAATCAGTGCCATTTTTTGTATGGGTGAGATGGTATCTCAGTGTAGTTTTGATTTGCATCTCTTAATGTGATTTTTACAATAACCTTGTATATTTGACAGGTTTTATCAGTTTCCTCATTTACTGGTGAGGAAATTAAGACTAAGATAGGTAAGTGACATATTTAAGATCACAGAGGTGTAAGAACAAAGGTGGACACAAATATATGTGGTCTAGACTCAACATTAACACAGTGGCTGAAACAATGGGCTCAAAAATAGCAACGATTGTGAGGATGGTAAAGGACCAAGTACCGTTTTGTTCTGTTGTACACAGGGTTGCTATGAGTTGGAACCAACTCCACAGCACCTAATAGCAACAGCATTACTACATATAGAGCTGTCATATTTTGGACCAAAATGAAACTAAATTAACCCTTTAATAACAATAGTAACAAATTAAAATAAATAATAATAATAGTTATTCTTACTGCAATGAGAAAATCAAAACATGAACATTAATCTTTTGAAAATACTAACTTCAAAATGGACTTGAATAATTTTCTTCCTGTAGATTATGTATGAATGTGTACAAAACAATAAAGAATAACCATAATCTTTTTTTTTTTTTAATAGATTGGAGAAAAGATGCAATCACATTCCTTTGGCCTTTGGAAAAAGGAAAGAAAGAAATTGCATTTTCCCCTGGCTAGCAAAACTCTACTAAAAATGGATGAGTCGCCAATTTTGATAAGATCCCTGACTGGTATCATAATTTGCAGTGATTCATCTGTGGTTTTATTTTTCTCCTTTCTAAAATAGGGTCTGAAACAAAACCAAATCCTTAGGAAAAAGACAACAACTGGGATTTTTATCTCTTTTGTGTGTGCATGAGTGTGTGAAATGGAACTTATGAAAGATTTAAAATATGTTTGATTTTGGCACAGTAACCGATTTTAAAGATCATCTGATCAACCCCCTCATTGCCCTTCCCCCAAATACTGGGGTTGAAGAAAACAAGGCTCCAGGGAGGATTCTTCAGCAAGTTCATGCTAAATCTAGGACCAGAATCCAATGCCCTTTCTGCTGCATTAATTATCCTTGTGATACAGTATTCGTTCTCCCTGGCTTTTAAAAAAATAAGAAAAAGCTGGAGCTGTTTCCCATCACCTTCCACCATGTCGTAAATCTTTCCTAGTGGTGACTAAGCATTGTTAGTCATCCTCTTTATACACCAACTAGTTTAAAAAGTTTTGGAACTAAATGGTGGTACTGTGTAATTTGACGTTACCGTTTGTAGATAAGCTTATGGCTTCCAAACACTATAAATTGTTCCATATCATGCAAGCATTATTTTCTGTTTTTCTCGTGCCTGTGTTTCTGAATAAAACTAAAACTAACATTTTCACATGAACCTACAATCCCCAGGCATTTAACTCTATAGCATTTAAGGGTTCCCTCTTTATTGAATTTACAGTTAACAATAGGTTTGGAATCCTTGAGAATGATAAAAAATAAAAAAGAATTCTGAATATTGGAATGAGAAAAGCAGTAGTATGAGGTTTTTTATTGCTACATGTTTGGACATTTTAGCCAAAGCTCCCAAAGAATCTTTCTGACCAATAATTATTGCTATACCAAAATCTCTCAAATGGACTTTTGGGCTGAGATTTTAAGTTATCTGTTTCAATTGCATTTCTGAGAAGGATACCCTGTTTGCATCATGTTTGGAGATATTGTTTTAGATACAGGCAAATCCCCATAGATCCTGAATTTGTAGGCACGTGCCAGCTACTTTCTCCCAGTACACCTGCTCTGCTCTTACAACGAGAAAATGAACAGAAGAGTTTTTCTTCTTTTTCCCTTCTTATTTGGTTTGTGACATTTTAGAATGAAAGTTCTTTTTAATCAGATATTATGCCTTTCTAGAGAGTTCGTTCAGCACCAAGAATACTTTGGATGGTCAAAAACCAACAGTGGCAGTAATATAATAATATGAATAATTACTTCTATATAATTTTGCAACAAAGAAAATTCCTGTCTTCAAATTTCTATTGATGAAATACTTGGAGCCATGTTTAGAACTATAATGTTTATCTTATTTATCATTATTGACTCACTTAAGGGTTCTTTGGTTTTTTGTTTGTTTTCTGGTCTTTGTTCTCTTTTGGTCCAAGTGGAATGGATTAGGGAACTTCTCTTGTCAATGATTATTTATAAATACCATGTTGTTGTTCCTAGGTGCCATCGGGTCAGTTCCGACTTGTAGCGTCCCTAGGTACAACAGAACAAAACAATGCTCAGTCCTGCGCCATCCTCACAATCTATGCCATGTTTAAGTCCATTGTTGCAGCCACTGTGATCTTCATCAGTAAGTGCTTCAAGTCCTCTTCACTTTCAGCAAGCAACGTTGTGTCATCTGCATATTGCAGGTTATTAATGAGTCTTCCTCCAATCCCGATGCCCCATTCTTCTTCATATAGTCCAGTTTCTCAGATTACTTGCTTAGCATACAGATTGAATAAGTATGGTGAGAGGATACAACCTTGACACACACCTTTCCTGACTTTAAACCATGCAAAGGCCCCTTGTTCTGTTCAAATGACTGCCTCTTTGTCTATGTACAGGTTCCTCATGAGCACAATTAAGTGTTCTGGAATTCCCATTCTTTGCAATGTTATCCGTAATTTGTTATGATCCACACAGTCGAATGCCTTTGCATAGTCAATAAAACACAGGTAAACAACTTTCTGGTATTCTCTGCTTTCAGCCAAGATCCATCTGACATCAGCAACAATATACTTCAAAAGAAGTATATTGTCCTCTTCTGAATCCTGCTTGAATGTCTGGCAGTTCCCTGTCAATGTACTGCTGCATCCATTTTTTTTTATTATCTTCAGCATAATTTTACTTGCATGTGATATTAATGATGTTGTTCAATAATTTCCACATTCCATTGGATCATCTTTCTTTGTAATGGACACAAATATGGATCTTTTCCAGTTGGTTGGCCAGGCAGTTGTCTTCCATATTTCTTGGCATAGATGAATGAGCACCTCCAGCACTTCATACATTTGTTGAAACATCTCAACTACTATATGTGGTGCTAAATTATTATAAAAAATTGAACTGAGTATGGGTAGTGAGTATTGATTTGCTGTCAAAAATCTCATCATTTTTGTATTTCAATGTTACCTTGACAAGCATGTCTTTTCATTTGGTGAAGTCCTGATAAAAAATCCATTGCCATTGAGTTGATTCTGGCTCATAGCAACCCTACAGAACAGAGTAGAACTGCCCCCTAGGATTACCAGGGCTGTAAATCTTTATGGAAGCAGACTGCCACATCTTTCTCCCATGGAGAGCCTGGTGGGTTTGAAGCACTGACCTTTAGGTTAGCAGCCAAAAGCTTTAACCACTGTGCCACTGAGGCTCCTGGGGGGCTGATAGGGTGGTGAAATATAAAAGGAGAGAAATGACATAGGTGAGTGGGATGCTTATTTGAGCCTAACGACGTATGAGACAGTTGCAGGCATAAAATATAGGTTCATAAACAAAACTCAGGAGGCTGTGGTGACCTGTTCACAATCATGATCTTCAGCCAGCCATGGTTTAAGCACTGTTAAAAATATATTTTCCTAAAATAGTGTGAAAAGTAAATAATTTGTACTACATTGCCAGGGGCCGGATGGGAGGCAGATATTGTATAATGAATTGTGACAGTGAACACCTATGTTGGACCTCCTTGCCTCCCCAGGATTGGGCCAAAGGCCAAGTCCTTAATTCCTAAGTGACAGAAACAACAATGTTTCTGGACAAGAAAGGAATAGCACACTCAAGTGGGATAACTGAGAATCATTTAATAAAGGAACCTCACTGAGATATAGACAGGGGTAAAGGAAACCAATATGGGAAGGAATACCCAAGGGCTAGCCATTACCACTTAAGGAACAAGTGGAGGAAATAGTTACTAGAACCCAGAGAGAGCATACGTGGCTGGGGAAAAATCTATGTGATTGAACTATGATTTTTCAAAAGAAGTATGCAATATTGTATGATTAACTTATGTGAAATATGTTGATGTTGTTAGCTGCTGTTGAGTTAGCCCCTGATTCATGATGACCCCATGCACAATGGAACAAAATGCTATGTGGTCTTGTGCCATCCCCAGGATCAATTTCAGATAGAATAATAAAATATCTAGAATAGGCAAATTTATAGAGAAAGAAAGTAGGTTAGAGGTTACCAGGGGCTGGGGCAGGAGAGGAAAAGAAGGAGTTATTACTCCAAGGGTAGAGTGTCTGTTTGGGGTGTTGAAAAAGTTTTGGAAAAAAATAATAGTAGAATTGACTGTATTTAGATGCCACAAAGTAGGTGGCAATGCCTTAACCCTCTGTGTGTTGTAAGGGCCAAGGGCCTCTTCCTTCCTTGTCAAGAGGAGTGCTAAACTTCTCTCCTTTCATACATCACAAATGGATACAATGCTGGAAGCGCTCACTCGTCTATGCCAAGAAATTTGGAAGACAGCAACCTGGCCAACCGACTGGAAAAGATCCATATTCGTGTCCATTCCAAAGAAAAGTGATCCAATGTATTCGGAAATTATCAAAAAACATCATTAATATCACATGCAAGTAAAATTATGCTGAAGATAATTCAAAAAATGCATGCAGCAGTGCATTGACAGGGAACTGCCAGACATTCAAGCTGGATTCAGAAGAGGACATAGAACGAGGGATATCGTTGCTAATGTCAGATGGATCTTGACTGAAAGCAGAGAATACTAGAAAGATGTTTATCTGTGTTGTACTGACTATGCAAAAGCATTTGACTATGTGGATCATAACAAATTATGGATAACATTGCAAAGAGTGGGAATTCCGGAACACTTAATTGTGCTCATGAGGAACCTGTACATAGGCAAAGAGGCAGTCATTCAAATGGAACAAGGGGATACTGCATGGTTTAAAGTCAAGAAAGGTGAGCTTCAGGGGTCTATCCTTTCACCATACTTATTCAATCTGTATATTGAGCAAAAAAATCTGAGAAGCTGGACTATATGAAGAAGAATGGGGCATCAGGATTGGAGGAAAACTCATTAACAACCTGCATTATGCAGATGACACAACGTTGCTTGCTTAAAGTGAAGAGGCCTTAAAGCACTTACTGATGAAGATCAAAGACTACAGCCTTCAGTATGGATTGCACCTCAACGTAAAACAAAAATCCTCACAACTGGGCCAATAAGCAACATCATGGCAAACGGAGAAAAGATTGAAGTTGTCAAGGATTTCTTTGTACTTGGATCCACAATCAATGCCCATTGAAGCAGCAGTTAAGATATCAAATGATGTAACGCATTGGGCAAATCTACTGCAAAAGTCCTGTTGAGAGTGTTAAAAAGCAAAGATGTGACCTTGAGGACTAAGGTGTACCTAAACCAAGCCATGGTATTTTCAGTCGCCTCATATGCGTGTGGTAGCTAGACAATGAATAAGAAAGACCAAAGAATAATTGATGCCTTTGAATTATGGTGTTGGTGAAGAATATTGACTATATCATGGACTGCCAGAAGAACTAACAAATCTGTCTTGGAAGAAGTACAGCTAGAATGCTCTTTAGAAGTGAGGACTGTGAGACTTGGTCTCACATACTTTGGACATGTTACCAGGAGGGATCAGTACCTGGAGAAGGACATCATGCTTGTTAAAGTAGAGGGTCAGTGAAAGAGAAGACCCTCAACAAGATGGATTGACACAGTGGCTGCAACAATGAGCTCAAGCATAACAATGATTGTGAGGATGGCGCAGCACCAGGCAATGTTTTGTTCTGTTGTACATAGCATTGGTATGAGTCAAAACTGACTCGAAGGCACCTAACAACAACAACAACAATCAAAAATACAAAATTGGAATTAAGAAAATAATTTTATTTACAATATTATCAAAAGAATAAAAACTTAGTAACACATTTAACAAAAGAAGTTTAAAACATTTATAGTAATCAAAACAGTGTGATGCTGGTATAAGGACAGGCACATAGATTAATGGAACAGAATTGAGAGTACAGCGATAAAGTACCAAGAAAATTTAATAATTAAAAAAAAGAATATCCTCTTCAATAAATAGTGCTGTAACTGGATACCCATATGCAAAATAATGGATAAATAATCTCTTCCTCACACCATACATAATAACTAACCGAATGCGGACCATAGACATAAATCTAAGATCCAAAACTATAAACTTCTAAGAAGAAAATATAGGAGTGAATTTTTGTGTCTTTGAGTTAAGCAAGGCCTTGTTAGGTGCAACACTGAAAGCACAAGTTAAAAAAAAAAACAGATAGATTGAACTGCATCGAAATTAAAAGTATTGTGCCTCAAAGGACTCTATCAAGAAAGATAGTCCACTGAATGGGGGAAAATATTTGCAGATCATGTGTCCAATAAGGGACTTGTATCTAGAATATATATATCTATAAAACTTCTACTACTTAACAGTAAAAAGGCAAATAACCCAATTTAAAAATGGGCAAAGGATCTGAATAGACATTACTTCAAAGAACATGTACAAATGGCCAATAAGCACATGAGAAGATGCTCAACATTACTAGCCATTTAAGGAATGCAAATATAAATCACAATGAGATACCACTTCATGTCCACCAGAAAGTCTACGATAAAAAAAGACGGAAAGTAACATGTATTGGACAGGATGTAAAGAAATTATAACTTTCATACATTGCTGGTGGGAATGTAAAATGGTGCTTCCAATTTGGAAACAGTTTTGCAGTTCCTCAAAATATTAAACATATGGTTACCATATGACCCAGCTATTCCACTCTTAGTTAGCTATCCAGAGAAATGAAAACATATGCACACAAAAATACGTATGTGAATGTTCATAGCAACATTTTTCTTAATAACCCCAAAATGGAAATAACCAAAATGTCCATCAACTGAAGAATTGATAACAAAAATGTGGCATAGATATACAGTGGAACGGTATTTGACAACAAGAAGAAATGAAGTATTGAAATATGCTACAATATGGGTAAAGCTTGAAAACATTATGCTATGTGAAAGAATACAGACACCAAAGACCAAGACCACATATTGTATGATTCCATTTATACAAACTGTCTAGAATAAGCAAATCTATAGAGACAGAAAGTAGATTAGTGGCTGTCTAGGACTGGGAGGATATGGGGAATGAGTACTGACCAGTATTGGTGGTTTGGGCGTGGTGAAAATGTTGAAAAATTGATTGTGGTGATGTTGGCACAACTCTAAATATACTAAACATCATTGAATTGTACATTTTAAATAGATTAATTGTATGGTATGTGTAGTGGTTAAGAACTACGGCTGCTAAGGAAAAGGTCAGTAGTTCAAATCCAACAGCCATTCCTTGGAAACCCTATGGGACACTTCTACTCTATCCTATAGGGTCGCTATGAGTCGGAACCTACTCGATGGCACCTAACAACAGCAACAATGGTGCTAAAAATATCTTAGTAATAACTGATTGGGATAAGAATCATCAACGGATATTAAACATACAGGTTAAAGTTTGATGAGGACAGGACAGGATTCTGACAGTCTTAAACTACCTCCCTACAAAGTATTAATTTATTACCAAAAGAAAGCAATAATTTGACAGTAGAGAAATCTTGGCAGAGATCGTCTTAACCGCACGATCAAATGGAATATCATTATTAATGGGGCTAATGACATCATATGCTCCCTGATGTGCTGCTCTGTGAAAGACACAGCGATTTTGTGTGTGTGTGTGTGTGTGGCATTCTGCCAAAAGTGCAGAACCTGAATTCGATCATGGGTAACCAAGAGATATGTCTTAACATTCAACAAAATAACTGACCTGTACACTACACAAATGTCAACATCATGAAAGACAAAGAAAGTCTGGAGAACAATTTCTGATTCCACGAGACTAATGAGACATGGAATCCAAATATTGTGCATGATCATAGACCGGAAAAATATTGCTCTCCTAGATATTAGTGCTGTGATTGGCAATTATCTAAGATCAGTGGTAATATTGCTATAGTGCACAATTACCTAACATCTAGATATTAGCTAATAGTATTGTATGAATGCTAAATTTCTTGAATTTGATAACAATACTGAGGTTATGTAAGAGAATATCCTTGTTCCTGGAAAATACACCCTGATGTACTTAAAGATAAAGGGGGTATGATGTAACTGAACCTGAAATGGTTTAGAAAAGATATGTATATGTATGTGTGTGTATGATTGGGCGTGTATGGGTAGAGAGATAGATGTCTAGATGGATTGCTAGATGGATGGATAGATAGAGACAGAGAAAAAAAGAGGCAGAGAAGTAGAATGAAACTTCAAATGTCGCAAAATCTTCATAATTAGAGAGACTGAATTAAGGGTATGAAAAACATTTTCTGACATTATTAGGAGTCCCTCAATGGTGCAAATGGTTAACTGCTCAACTATTAGCTGAAAGGTTGGTGGTTTGAACCCACTCAGAGGTACCTTGGAAGACAGGCCTGGTAATCTGCTTTTGAAAAGTCGCAGCCTTGAAAACTCTATGGAGCAGTTCTCCTCTGCACACTTGGGGTCACTATAAGTCAGAATTGATTCAACAGCGACTAACAATAACAACATTCTTACAATACAATAATTCAAAGTCAGTTTGAAGTTATTTCCTAATGAAAGGTTTTAAAAGATAAGGTTTTGGCTAAGAGTCCTTCTAGGAATGCAAGGATTATTGAGTATAAGAAATCTGTGAAATAATTCATCACATGAATAGAATCAAAGAAAACATTATATGACCATCTTCATAGATGTTCAAAAGGCGTTTAGCAAAATTCAATAGTCTCTGGATAAAATACTGACTGAAATTAAGAATCCATAGATATTTCTTTGATACAATAAGGAAGTACTGCAGGGCTACTAGCTCTACCAGATATTAAAACATGATGGTAAATTGTTAAAAACTTTCTAAAAATCTTGTTGCATAAATAGGTAGAGCAATAGAGGAAAAAGCAAAAATGATTATGGAAATAGGTGTTTTATACAGATGTTAATGTAAATCAGTGGGGGGAAAAGATGGAATTTTTAATAAATGGTGTTGGGTTAACTAGATAGCCATTTTGAAAAGTAAGAAAATATAAAATTATATGTGTACCTCATACACACATCATACATACATTCAGACAAGACTGCTAAACGTAAATGTTGAAAATATACAACACCAGAAGAGAAGTTCATAATTTGGGAAGAGGGGAATCTTCCAAAACATGATTCAAACTCTAAAAGCAACTCAGGAGAGAGACATTTTATTACCTAAAAATTTGAAAAGGCAAAAATTAAAAATTAAAGTTAAAAGACAAAAAACATGGAGAAAATTTATATCACAGAGGATTAATCTCTCTGGTCTACAAAACACTCCTAAAAATTGAGAGACAGGATG